AAAAAAAATTACCTCTGAAGAATTTAAAATTATGTCACTGAAGAATTTGAAAATTCCGCGTGGTTTTTTTCTGAATAACTTCGTGTCGCATATTGACCAATCAGAATTAAGGATTAGCGGTCAGGCAGTTTCGAGATATTTCGATATAAAACAACTTCACGTTTCGTTCATATTTAGTAAATAGGATCTTACATATACTACCTAATGTGAATATTTAATCGCAATGCCTTTGATATTTCCATACTATTTATAAGTCTTGTATTGGCCTCGGCTGTCTTGACTTGAATAAACAAAAATAAATAAAATAAATTTAAAAAAATATCTCATCGGAAAAAAATTACTGATCGAATTACAGAGTATTTTAATGGCATTCAATTGCAATGCAGTGTTGATACATATTAATTCCTGGCCGGAGGCTACGGAAGATCCCTCTGAAAAAAATTTCCTCGTAACCAAAACCCCAAAGCGGGGTGTTCGGTGTTATGCTACACTATACCTTCTCTCCAGCATCGTTTTCTCTCCATCCGAAACTGGTTTTTTCGCGCGGCCAATTAATTCGATCTAAAGTGGAGGACGGAGATATACAACTCCTTTGGTCAGCGTTGAGCTTCAATCCTGAAAGAGGAGAACCCCATTTGTATTTCATTAAGAAACCCATATCGATATTGCTCTAATAATCGGATATCATGGGGAGATCGAATCATAAATCTTGACTACCAGTTGCATGTCGAAATTCACCGGAATTACTTTTTTTTCTGTCCACTAAACCTCAATTAAAATTATTTTTGGGGAAATATTACCCCGCTATTATGATGAAGTCCTTCATTTTTTTTTTAGGATAATTCACTCAAAAGGGCATGAATTTTGTTTCCTTGTGAGAAGTATTTATTGAAAAACGAAGATAATCGCATAATTTTCAATAGAATTTGTTAGAGAAAACGCCTTTTTTTCCTCTGAATTTTTTGATCAATTTTGATAGAAAAAAAAATGAATAGATTTTAATTTTTTATAGGAATTATTGACCATACATTTTCCAAGTTCTCTTCTCGCAGTAAAATCTAAGAAAAAAAAAAAAAATTCGGATAGAATTCTAGTGGAATTTCAGTTGATTCACAGAACGCGCGATGTTTTTGTAAAAAAATTCTCCCACGTATATGTAAAAAATTATAAACATTACAATCTTTCCTTCTGCATTCTCTCATTTACATCTCCAGTGTCAACACCCTTAAACTGAAGATTCCTTTGCCTCTATTTTCCTTTATTTTCTCTCCCCAGAAAATAGAACCCGATCCATTAATTATCACAACGCAACGCACATTCTTCAGTCTGCAATCATTCCACTCATTCCATTAATTCCCTTCGCATGATAAATGTTGCAACTCTGGGAAATCGATCTAGGCCTTCAACACTGAGGTTTCCCATTGCAATGAGATCATCACCGTAGCCCTGCTGCAAGCAGGAACAAACTGGAACAAACGCGTGAAACGAGGAGGTGGGGGAGGAAAGAGCCCGAGAGGATGGGGGTAAGATGATACACTTGGCTTCGGCACGCGTGCGAACGTTTTCTTGATGCCCGATAAAACGCCTATGGCTACCGAAGACCCTGGGACACGTTGACGAATGAGAGCCCGTCTGCCTGAGGAAGCCCCCACCGGTAAGCCTATAATTCTTAGCAGTAGGTATTAACTGACAAGCATCATCGTCACCGTATCATTTTCCCCGGGGAGAAAAAAAATGAGTCTCGTGGATCCCACATGATTCATGCAAATTTCAGTTCATTCATGCATCATGAAAATAAAAGTGCATGGAGATTTCGTTGGTCTCGCGGTCACCGGAAAACACGGGTGAACAGCCTAATTATGGAACACTCAAGGCTCGTCGGAACCTCAGACAATAGTTTGAAAATGAACTACTGCCTGAAAGAATAAAAAAAATAATGGAGAAACAATCGGGAAAAATGAAAAACTATCTTCAGTCCGAAAGACCTGTTACGGAACACTTTTGCCAAATATGGAACATCGCGCGCCCAATTACGGAACAGTAGAACTTTGGGAAACGGTGAAAGGTCAGGAACCCGAAGTAATAAGGATATTTTTGTAGGAAAATGTCAACACGTTCAGATTATAATTGAAAATTGGAATTGTGATGTAAATTTTATTATGGAAAGAAACTCTTACTAGTGAACACACGTAAAAATGAGTAATGTCGATCACGTGAACACATAACTCGACTTTCTTCGTATATGAATTTGTCAGAACAATTTAACAAGGAATAGAAACATAAGTGTCATTATATTTTCAGCTTATCAATTATTTATGTACTTTTGACTGAACCACTCCGGCACGTGCCAAACGAAAACATCAGTGTTCCGTCGATTGGAAATGCCATGAGAACCCAACCCAATTAGCGGAACACCCATATATTTGTAGAAATAGGAACTTGCGGATAAAATGAATGCAAAAATATGAAAAAATGAAGCTTTTAGGATCAATATTAGTCTGGACTTACGACGTTTGATGATTATTACCCCAAGTAACTTCGTTCGGCACATTAGCAGTCACACTGTCACATCTAACTACTCACCTGTCGCAAAATGGCTGACAGTGGCAGCTGGCAGGGTTTATTTCCATTATTGAGCGGGAAACAGCAGATAGACCACTAAATATATTCTCGTGCCGTGGACGGAATTATCGATTTAATTTTTTTTTAAATCGAATTGATAGATGGGTAAATATTCCAGAAATCTGGCATATTTACCTGTCCTCCTTTGAATGAAAATTCCAATTAATCTGCGTTTTAACTCAAATTTTTCATAACGCATCCTATTAATTCTTAAAAGTTTCTTTTGCGAATTCATCCACTATTGGGCTAATCTCTTTTTTGATCAAGACTTTTCACCTTCACTGGCGAGATCATGTTTTCGTCAAGAATATGTTTACCGATGAGTATCAAATATCTTGGAGATCGAAGGATTAGCATCATCCCCTCAGTCGCGATTGAAGTCCAACGGAAATTTCTCGGAGATTCGCTTTTTTTCAATTTTATTGAGCACCACTGGTTATGGTTAACAGAGGGGCGCGTGCCAAGGGCCTGCAGCTGCCGCAGTTGGTTTTCCAGCCCCTCTGTCAGTTCCACCACACTGCACCACCATCATTTCAAGAATTACACCGATGTATGCCCTACTACCACGATCACCGTGTTGCTCTATCATTTTTGGATCTCCGGTTACAAAAACACTTCCGCAGGAAGCCAGTCCAGGTCCTTCCATCCTCCCATGAACCCAACGGCTGGGGGGTTCAATATACCGCATGCGGTATAATCTCAACAGATAAAACATCAATTTTCGTTGATGGGAAATAACGAAAAAATTTGATATTGGAGTTCGTTTAAAATTTTGGAGCCGAAAAAAATCGAGAGATTTGTCTCAGTTTCTAGATTTCCGGGAAAACCCGCAATTGCCGGGGGGTTCCCTATTATTTGGGCGGGGAAGGGACCATTTCTCGGAACATTTCTAGAAGTGCCCGATGAATCCGAGTATTTTTCTTTAAAACCCAGAAATTAGTCCGTTTGAGAAAGAATCTTTCGAATCTGGGAGTTTCTGGTTTTTCGAGGAGCCCTTGCCTAGTTTATTTTCCTCCGGGGCAAAATGAAACCCCTCTGTTTTTTTTTTGTTTTTCAATGAGAGAAATGAGTCCAGTGTTTTTTTCGATGTAACGTTTCGAGTAAACCATATGAAAATCGGAATTTCTTCATGAAACATTACGGTTACGACCCATAAAACGACTTGAAAGTCTTTTGGAAAATCCACCATTTCACAAAAGACAGATTAAATTAGATTAGATAGGTGACCGTATTTTTTCCCCCCCGAAAAAATTTTCCGGAACAAATTCCCCGGGAAAAATTTCCCCGTGGAAAAACATCTCTCGTCTAAATATTCCCCCGGAATTATTTTCCCCTGAAAATCACCGAAAAAAAAAAATCTTCGGCAAAAATGCAAAATAAACATATTATAATTTTTAACTTTATTGTTAATGTTGGAAAGTATTCTCGTTACTGCTTCAAATTACACATGCTAATGCCGATGTAATTTATTCATTCATGATCGGTTGTTTGGAGATGTTTCTTTTGAAATGGATTGTTTTGGTGGTGTAAGATGATATTTTGTTGAATGTTGTCAATGTTTTTTTTATGAATCTGCGACTTTGCAGGACGAGAATGCTCCGTAATGAAGATTCATTGATTATCGGGACAAGAGCTTAATTCGAATTATTCGGGGAAATTGGTTCGAAAATGTTGACAATAAATTTATTGCAGTAACGTAATTTATTTATTATTGATCTATTGAAAAAGTTGAATTCTCATCTGGCGTATCTTCGAAGATTGAAGGATGTAATAAATAAAATTCACGTTGGTAATGTGTATATGTGTAATTATTTTTTACATTCGTTAGGAGAAATGGTTCGGGGAATTTTTTCCGTGGAATTTTCAATATGTAGCCCAGAGACACCTAAATCATATGATCTTTGGTAACATCCGCCTTCATTTAATCATTGGCAATCCCTCACATTCAGAATACGAATGAAACCATCAATAAACTCTCCTTCGATTAACCCTTTGTCAACAGCTCCTGTCCAACTTCATTACCCCCAAGAAATTGTTTGATCCATTTCCGAAGCCCAAAGGGCAAGAGCCTGCGGCCCTCGAAAACGTGCATCGAAAACCGACGAGCAGCAGAAGCAGGACGAAATCCATAAAAAAAAGGGACAGTAAACAAGGAGGACTATACCCGGCCCATCGACGCGAGCCGAGCCTCGCCGAGTTTAGCCGAGTGGCCCGAAGTGAGAGCAGGTAAGCAGCTGCGAGCGTATCCGCCAGGGGCTGTGAGACAGACCGAGTTAAACCGGCTAACCCAAGTGCGACAGAAATAGCATTCAAGATCCACAACGTACAGCAGAAGCACAAGGGGCAGACGCGTGTTTAAATTAGTCCCGGCACAACTGTCGTGCAAGCAGCATGCTACCCGTCACTGAAAACCAACCGGCTAGCGACGATTACTCGGAATGCTAATAATATCCCCCAAAAGCAAAGTGTATCAACTATTTTCAATCATACGAAAGTGATAGTTGGTGACGATGTGTGAAATCTGGTGACAGTGTTAATTAACAATTCAAGTTTTTTATTTCCTATATTTAGAGATTGTAAATATGTTAAAAATGAAGATTCTAGTGTTGGCAACAGTTTTCCTGCTGGTGGAGGGAGATCTTTTGGATCTCTATGTTCAACACATGGACGAAACCATGGGCACGAACTTGGTTAAAAGACACCCGAAGGATGTGGGATCAAAGCTCCGAAGCAAGAGGCACCTCAAGGGTGCCATGAGATACGGACACTTTCGAAAGCAGCGATTGGATGTGGAGGATGACTGGTGGATAGATAAGAAAGCCCTTAAGAAAGTCCTCCCGAAGCTTCCGATCCCCAAGCCAGATGGTCTAGCTTTTCCAAATCTCAACGAGAGGAACAACAACACTGAGGATCACGAGGTGCTGAAGAAGAAGCAGGAGTTCCAGACGTCTGAAGGATTCGCCACGAATGCTGTCAGCAAGGATCTTATAGGGTACGATGACGTCGAGCAGGTGAAGTCAGACGACATCAGTGAGGATGTGGAGATCATTTCTGATGTTGATGACGTCTCGCCGGAGATTCTCAAGAGAGATCCCAACAGAACTCCCAAGAAATATCATCCTACTGAGAAGATCAACAGCAGTCAGAAGTCTGCGAAGCTGAAGCGAAGCGTCAGTAATTTCAATTTTACCAGGCGCGAAGTGCTTGATGATGTTGGCGACGTTATCCTCGAGTGGGATCCTTCCGACGAGGACATTGTCACCTTCAGAGTCACAGCCAAGACATTAGGATACGTAGGAATTGGGTTCAACGAGAAGAGTCACATGATGGGAGCAGATTTACTTCTCGCCTGGGTTGATGATCACGATAATTCGGTTAATCTTCTGGTAAGTGTTAAGTCACGGTTACTTTGAATCACGCCAACAATTTGGGGGAGGATTTTGTGGTTTCGGTCCTGACGACGAGGTCGGATCTGGTCTTTCATTTGTATTTAAATCCCCAGTCTCTTTCAATTTCTTTTGGTTTGTTCACCTCGATACTGAGATTTCCTCTCCCGAGGTCTGCAGATCTCTTTGGAACCTGTCCTCGCAAAAAGACATGTGCGAGGAGAAGAAATATAGGGAATGAGAGGTAGACCTCGAAAAAAATCGCAAAAGAAGAAAATGAAGAAGAAGAAGAAGAAGAAGAAGAGAAGGGAGGAGAAATGAAAAAGCTGCGGGAATTAAAGGGAGATTAAGAAGACGGTGGCAAAGAGGTGAGGAAGGGAGGGCAGCGGGAGGTAAGCGATTGACGAAACAAAAGAGGACCGTGAGGGCCCGATTGGTGGAGCACCTATTCCTTCAGTCGAATTCGTTGGAATTGTTGGACGCTTGGGCCAACTGAAGGGAGATCGGTACGATCGATTGTATTAATGAGGTTCGTTTAATTGGCGCGCGGCTGGGTGACAATGAAGCCGTTTCGATTCTTTTGTCAAGTTTCTTTGTTCAGTCAGTCTGAATAATTTTCTTATTTCTTCATCCGCCAATTCTACATTTTCAAATGCCTTAAATCGTTACGAATATCGAGAAGAAAATGGTACAGCCGAAGAACGACTGTTTGACGCAATTCAAGTGAAAAATCATTTTTTTCATAAACCTTTTTTTGTTAACTTCAGTTGATGAACTATACGTCAATTGATTAGATTAGGGCGAGTACACTTTTCTTTTTACATTCGATTGAAATTCAGCATCACATTTTCCTTTATCCCCCTCTGGGTCTCCCCCTGGGCTTTGGATTTTGCTGTTTCATTTTCTTGTCAATTAATCCATTGACAAAATTTCCCGTCAAAAGTTCTCAATAATTTTCCACTCTACTGAATGGAGAGTGATTTATGTCAGTACTCCCAATAATTAAAACGATGGTGATAAAAAAAATTGATCAAGAAATTTTTTTTCTTGAATTGCGTCAAAATGTCGTTTTTTCGACTTTCAATTGAATTTGTATTTCGATGATTGACTAGTTTGAGCTGTTTTAGTAAACACGTTGAATTCTTCAATCGAAATTGAAGAATGAAAGAAAACAAAATTATTCAAATGCGTTGACCACTGTGGGAATCCTGCCTTATAAAAGGTGCGATGGAATTGGATAGTGATGCTAGAGTGAGAGAAATGAGGATAGAAAATGAAAAGACCGGGTGGAAGGCTGAACCGCAGAGGAATGAAATACCTGGTTCCCTCGTTTATCCCCCCCCCCCTCTCTCTTATCCAAAACCTTCTGGGAATTCCTTAATCTTAATTAAATTTATTTCAACTTCAACTTCTCAACATTTTAAAAGCCCAAAGTGCATAATTTGGCAACTTGTTTTGCAAAGTAAAATATCCGTGGAAAAAAAAACTAGTTTGAATTGACAGTGTATGCGATAATGATCTCGGTTGAGTTTTTTTAATCCACTTTTTTCATGGCATTAAAAACTCCACAGATTGATGGATGCGTTCACGATATATCTCGATTTACGTCAATCGATGGTGGAATTTCGGGGGATCAATCCGAGTGGGTCCCGAATGGGATATCATCTCGTTTCATTGACAGACAGACCTCACCGCTGGATACACACTGTAGTAAACGAGTTGTCTGAAATGGCATCAAAAAGAATAAAATGAGGATACACACCGAGGATAAAAGAAGATGAAAGAGAAAGGGATAAAATTAACGAAGAGAGTCGCTGTCGAGAGTAGATAACGTCATGATAAATTTACGTCTGACCCGCGGTCGGGGAGAGGTACCTTTTTCGATCGAGACGGTCGATTTACCGCGCGAACGGTTATGGCTTTTTGCGAGTGTACAGAAAATGTTTGTGGAGTTGAATTCGATTTTTCATAATCTGCGGAATTCATTAATGGTGGATTTTAGTCGGAGTTGACAGTGTCCTTCATAGAATTCCGCTAGGATTCCTCAGAACCTGATATTTGGGCCCAATTCTTCAACAGAGCATTGTCGTCGAATTCCTTCCTATTTACTGAAGATGAAAGAAACGTGAAGTTGTTTTCTATCGAAATATCTCGAAACTGCCTGACCGCTAATCCGCAATTCTGTATTTTCAAATTCTTCAAATGCCAAAAATTTTTTCTGCGTCATATTTTTCATTTTTTCATGTGTGGAGTTTATCTTTATATCAAAAGATATCTAAATTGCCTAATTGTTGATCATGAGAAAAAAAATGGTATTTCTAAATTTTTTTTCTAAACTCACAAATTATTCTTCACTTTCCAAATTTTAATTTTTTCATATTTATCATACGCAAAAATGATCAATTCTTGCTTCTCAGATTTTCATACATAAATTCTAAATTCTACAAAATTCATTAAAATTCTTCGGTTTCCCAAATAATTCGAGAAAACTCTTTGGAGATCTACGGTTATCTGGAAAGCTGTGAAATTTTCCGAAGAATTCAAGAAATTTTTTCAATTTAGGAAATCAATTCATAACCCTCCCCTCATTTTTCAAAAATTACAATTTTTAATCGGATTATTTTAAAAAGTAAAAAAAAAGAATTAATCGAAGATCAAAAATTATTCATTGACATTTCACTCTTTATCCTCTTAATTCTCTTTAACTCATTATCAATGTTTATAAAACATCTCTGAGTATATGAAGTTTAATAAATTCCATTTCTTCATTTTCACAACGAATAGATAAGCGCGCGCACAGGTCTAATGAATTCTACTCTATTCGTCAGATTAGACTAATCTCAGTGTGACCTCCGCCAGATTGACCTGACTTTCGGATTATTCAGTCCACTCATCCAAATTTCGACGCATAAACCCTATTACTGCAATAAGAAAAATAACCGGACCTTGATTTTCTCAGAGGCTATATTTTCTGGCCGAAGATGATTACAATCATATCTCCCTAGAAGATGATTATACTTTTCGTGTATATTTCACAAGGGCATACATGCGCATCTGTATCGCCGGCCGGTGTTCCGCCAAGGCCTCCAGACACACCGTGTGGCCCCCTGTTGGGTTAGGGAGTATTTATCCCTCCTCCTTCTCCACCTAAAACGCAAAAACCTCACGAATGCAAAGGGGCATATACCAACGAGTCCTGGCACCCTCATTCCCTCAGTCTCCTTCATCTTCACCTCAGTCTCTTTTTAGGACTCACTATTTTTCTTTTGATTTTTTTATCACGGCTTTTACGAGGCACCGAAGAATTGTTACCGTTTTTTTCCTCCTATTGTCCTTTTGTTACTCATTTGGTTTTATTTTCTTCTGCGGAGTTCTTTATTTCGATCATTTCATTCTTCTCCTCTTGCGAAAGAATCGCGACTATTTTTATTGTCGAGATGATATCAAATCTGTGGAGGGAATTGTTTGCAATTGATAAAAAAACAAGTGGGAAAGTGTTCTTGTAAATTACTCTAAGAGAAAAATTGAGACAATATCACAAAAGTCATTTCTTGAGCGAAAAACATCGCTTTCGTATTTGATCAATTCATGGTAGGTTTCAGACGAGAAATCGGGGCTCTTCGGGCTAAGGAGGAAGTTACTGAATGAAAAGGTGATGTCTTTTTTCGAAATGAGATAATACTCCTTAAAAGACAAGAATAGTTTGACAGAAGGAAAAAAAATATTGCTTCCCTTCGAACTCAAAGCGATTGAGCGTAAGCGACGGTTATATTTTTTTAATATCTGGAGGTTTTCCTCTGCATAAACTCTCTATTCATTCAATATGAAAGTCTCTGATTCATGATTCACCGAATCGAAGTTTTTAATATTTTTAGTCATTTTCTCATCTTCTGAGACGAAAAAAGCGATTTCTTGTGGCAAAACGGAGAGAAATGTTCAGTAAAAATTACGGAACTCTCACTTCACTCACCGATTACGGAATCGACTCAGAAAATTTAAGTGACGGTATCGTAATTTTTCACAAGAGATTCAGATAAAAATTACGGAACGCTCCGGAAAAATTCCGTGACAGTTCCGTAAAATTTCCTACAACCACATTTCGCTCCGGAATTGCGGAAAAGATACGTAATTTTTATTGAATATTTCTTTCCGTGAAGAAATTCTCACTTTATCGTGAAATGTTCATGTTCAAGTCATGAACCCTTCACCGAAATCTGACATTGTCTGACGCATTATCCGGAATTCTTATCCCAAGAAATTTATCCTCAAGAGATGAGATATTTGGCACAAGAAATTAACTTTGTGATATTATGACGATACTCCTCTCAGTGTACAACTGATTGTCTTTTTTACAGTTCTATCTTTTTTTTTTTGCATACTTGAATGAATTTGAAACATCACGTTTGAAGAAGCCATCGGAACGCCCGAAACTTTCAGAAAAATTCATGAAAAATTCGAAATTCTCAACAATCAGCATAAAAATCAAATGAAAAAAAATTCAAGCTTTTTCACGCAAAATTTCAAGAGTAATTTTCTAACATTGCAGCACGTAGTCATTCATCACTAGTAAAGGGGTAAATGCAATCGAGAAAATCGCCCATAGCGAACAGAAGCCCTCGACAATGTCCTGCGGTACGTTATTTACTTTCTTCATTTTTCAACCTGCAAGAAACACGAGCAGAGATGAATATGAGGAACAAACAGAAAGAGTTGGGTAGATACGAGAAGGGGTGTACTCATTAGCATACCTGAAACGACATTCTCCTGACATAATCCACGATGTGTATGATTTACGATTCTTCGAGTTCAGTGATGCGAACCGGTCGAACATTCAGAGGATACCGAATGGTAGAACTTGATGTTTTTTTAGTTGCAACATCCGAGATTTTACAATCGGGAGATCTGTTGGATATCTGCAAGACGTATTATCTGCATTTAAGTCGAATGTATGAACAGTTATCGAAGATTAGTTCAACAGAAATATGAGGGAATGGATGGAGAGTAATTAAGCCTGGTCTGGTCACTGTACGCGACCGTGCGACTTCGGTCTACTCCGCGGCGAGGCGCCGCCGCGTTATTCGGGCTCCAGCGTTGCTAAATTCACTCTTCACTGTCCGGGCGCGTTTAGCGAGTTTGCGGCAACGTCGCGTAACGCGCACTTTCATTCAAGGGGTAACAGAAGGCCGCCGTTCCCTCGAAATTTTCAAACAGATTTCCTGATTAAAGTTATTAATATATTTTGAATCCAAAACACATTGACCTTCATTATCGTTTCCTCAAAATTTTCAAATAAATTTCCTGATCAAAGTTATTAATATATTTTGAACCGAAAGCACACTGATCTTCATTATCGCTTCATTATCGTTCCCTCGAAATTTTCAAATAAATTTCCTGATTAAAGTTCCTAATATATTTTGAATCCAAAGCATATTGATCTTCATTATCGCTTCCTGGAGATTAATGTGCTTGGATTTGTAAAAATATCGACAACATTCAGCGGGAAATTCGTTCAAAAAATTGGTAACCCGGCATTCTGTTACCTCTTAAGGATATTTAAGTATCTTTCACAGTTTGGTACAAACCACACTATAGATTCAACCATTTTCAATCATCAAATTTGTCGATTAAATTGCATGAGAAAAATTTGAAAAAAATCGTGAATATTCAGCGCCATTAAAATTACATTTTGCACAGAATTATTATTTTTTAAACACTCGTTATTTATAAATAAATAACTGAAGTTGTTTAAACTTTCGGAAACTTAATTTTTTTAGAAAACAAAATTTGAAAAAAATCATGATTACTCAGTATCATTAAATTACATTTCACGCAGAACTATCATTTTTTAAATATTCGTTGCTTATAAATAAATAGCAATATTGTGATTTGATTTGATAGATATTTTTGAGAAATTGGTGCATCTCGGAAACTACGTGTCAAGTATAATGTCACGTTTCATGACATTATACGTCAACAAATGGAAAATGTTACCTTGAAAATACCTATAATTTGAGGTGAATTGTCGAATAAGAAAACGAAAAAATTTCATGAAATATCTTTATTTGACAGTCGTCTCGGCTCCATTTTTATATTTCAAATGATAGATATTACTCACCAAGACGATTAATAGAACGGATGTGACATCACGGATCGGTAGACTCTCGTTTCCTGCAAATGTTCCACGGGGTGCGGTGTAAGCCCTCGTCGTTTATTCCAATCAGGTTCAAAAACACGGAGGAACGTCGTACAGAATACGATTCCCATGTTCATACACTTCATTCAGTGGGAAAAAATAACATTCCCAGTCTTAAAATTCTCATCATGCGAGTATAATTCCGAAATTACACCTTGAAATATCGAATGATAAAGGGTAACTGAGGTCACTGGTAGGCATGTGCAAAGAACAGCGAGAGAAAATGATTGAACTATAAAATATATCTCAAGAAGCAAGATGAAAGATGAAGAGAAATTGCGATCGATTTTCACCCACCTCGCTTCCTCGACCGTCAGCCAGTTTATCCTCAGTGAACCGTGGAATAGGTCGTGATACACTCGCAAATAAAATAAAAGGATATACCCTCACGTGAGGAGTAATTGCCACTGACTCAATGTGAAGTTGACGCTATGAGAAATATTGAATCAGTGCAGAAAAACGCAATCGCCAAAAAACTTGAACATCAAGCTCATTAAGGATCCACTGTTTTTACATTCGACGGCTTCTAGAGGCAACTACGTAACTCACAAACAGGGATCGCCATCAATTATTAATTTTAGTAGTACTTGGGTTGAAATTTGAGCGCCAAACTGAAACATTGTATCTTACACACTGAGAGAAAAATACAATTCTTCTGACTATATTCCATCACCATCGAATTATAGTAAAAAAGTCCTCAACAATTTTTCATGGATTACGGTAACTATGGCCGGAGAAGTAATTACTACAATGGAATGTACTCATTGCAACTATTTTATAGTTCTCCTCACGATAGATTTGTCGTTGTTACTTTTGAACTTTAGTTAATTTAACTGCATTTTGATTTGCAAAAATTACGCCTGTGAAGTTACTATAATGTTATGTGCCGCATACAAAAAAAATCGTATCGTTCACCAAAATGCCTCAACTGAGTGCACTGAGAGAAAAACGACAAAGTTCTCAAACAAGTCTTACTTGCGCCAAGAAAATATTTTTTTGAAAATTATCAAAAAAGGATTTTTTTGTGCCAAACATGCAGAGAGTGCGCCGGAATGAAAAATTTTTGTCGCAAAAATAGATTTAGTAGTTCAAAAAAATTGCATTCTCTTATGTTTGCGAATATTCAATCAATTTAGTAATTGGCAAATTGTTGTCATCTCATTTCTTTCAGCATTAATTTTTCTTGCAGTTGGAAAATGAAAGGGTTGGCGAATCATTTTGGAACTACTCATTCATTCCATCTAATTGCTTCTTTGCCACTCTATTCATTAATATCTACGAGAAATTTTCCAATTATTGATATTGGTTTTTCGGCATTAGCGTTCTGTCAATACCCGTGAGATACTTGAGTTTAGAACGAAATCTTGAGATGCCTGGATTTGGGAGCGTTTTCTGAGTTACGCAGTTTCCTTCAGGAGCCATCTTAAGCACTCCTGGAAGACTTCATGAAGTATGAAGAATGCTGCATAACTTCAGTATGAAAAACCAAATAATTACCGCGCATAACATTGGTAATGAGGATCCCTCCAGTTGCTGAGGCTTTAACAAGGCCCCGTACAAATACCCCTAACCTCCGTTGAGATACCAATCCGTACATGTACACTCGTATCCACGGCCGTGACGCCCGGAACCGCCCCGTGAGCCGTTGAGCATGACGACGGGCGCTTGGCAATTATTTGGATTCATTACGCTGCGCAGGAAAGGTACTTCCCTTCGGGGAGGGAAGAAGAAAAAACCCCTCACCTCTTGTAGACCGGGCGTCTGAGCCTACCACCATTCTCTTTTTCAGGCGTGTACTCGATTGCCTCTGCTTTAAAGAAGAATGAAAAAAACCGAGGGTTGCTTTTCCGTTCATTCATTGTCTGTCACAAAACATGTACCCTTTTCTTTCATTCCTACTTCTGGGCCCCAAAAATCCCACGGAAGATAGTTCTCACACTTGTTTTTGGAATATAAAATATGTGAAAATAAAATTTGATAAATATGGGAAGTCAAAAAATTGGGACCTCAGGGCCCATTTTGCTAAGTAGGACAAAAATTGCTTGGATTTTATGAACAATTCTACGAGCAATTAGATTGCATGATGGAGTTTAGAGGAAACAATGTAAAAAGTAATTAATTTCAAAAAATTTATGCCTTCTCACGGTCCCAAAACTTTTGGGCCTGATGTATAAAATCTATTCTCTTTTCTTCTCACTGGTTTTCGGGAGATATCTGTAAAAAGGATTGGTATGAACACCAAAAAAATTGAATCGTAGGGCCCAATTTCTTACCAGGATGAAAGCATAAACTGAGCCTTATGACTCATTTTATACAGTGTTATATTTTCTTACGGAGTTCGAGGAAACAACTTAAAAAATCAGAGAATCCACAGGAAATACATGCATTCCCGAATATGAAAAAATCGGGGCCTTACTTTCAAGAGGACCCGTCTTGTTACGATTGTGAAAATATTGGGCCTTATGGATAATTCTTTAAAGAAGACTTTAAAGAAAACAATATGAAAAATGCTTCATGCCCGCAAAATTTTTGGGCCTGATGCATGATATCGGGCCTCTTACGTCTCACTTATTTCCGAAATTTAGTGTAATACAGTCTATTCTCCATTATTTCAGGATTCACATGGACTCAAAGACACCAATGCAGCACCAATCGTAGACCAATCGCAGGATGTTGATATTCTTGGAGGTTCTCAAAATGAAACCCACACAACGATAATATTCTCGCGAAGTTGGCAGACCTGCGATCCCGAAGATCGTCACTTAAACGTGAGTCCCAGAATTTTTTTTCCTTCCATACAACAAACAGTAGTGTCCCAAGAAAAATTGTCCACCCGTGACGCCCATAGAAATCCTCTTCTCTTCTTTATAGAGACCGCCACGTGAAATTCTATTCGATTCAAGAGACATGGTTTTCGGACACCTATAAGTCCCCAAACCATTTCTCAGGAGGTGGGTCTCTTCATTCTCTCTTTCCGCGCCGAAAAATCGTCATTCGTGTTTCGCAGCGAGCCCTCGAAACCCACCTGAGATTCTCGGGATACCTGGTGGTATTTAGGCGTTTAGCATGCCGCCTTTTGGGCCCCAGGCCAGTGGACCCATTAAAATACTTCTAATCGCAAGACTTTACCTTCGTCTGTCCCGCCGATTTAGTCGAGTTTCTCGTAATGCCACTATTTGTTTTCCCCCCCATAAATGATGTATTAAATGAAAAATAAACGGGGCCTTAAACAGGGCCGTAGCGGAGTTTTTTCTTCGGGAATCGTCACATTGATTCCCCTCCGGTTTGTCTAATCGCAAGACTACGTCCGTCTCCCGCCAATTCCATCAAGTTTTCTACAAGACTTTGTTCTATTGATTGTTTTCCTTCGAGTTGATGCCGCAATTAGAGAACGAACGGGGCCTTATAGAACTTAATTTTTTGAAAATTATTGTTCCATCTTTTCAACTATTCAGTTGTCAGGTCTGAGTTACTGTATCTTGGATATTGCAAGTCTCCATTCGTTCGCGATTGGAAATTTTTGGGCCTTACCATCAACATCAAAATGATCAAATAGTTCTAATCGCAAGACTACGTCCATCTCTCGTCAATTCCGTCAAGGATCCTACTACACTTTGTTCTACTGATTGTTTTCCTTCGAGTTGATGCCGCAATTAGAGAACAAACGGGGCCTTATAGAACTTAATTTTTTGAAAATTATTGTTCCATCTTTTCAACTATTCAGTTGTCAGGTCTGAGTTACTGTATCTTGGATATTGCAAGTCTCCATTCGTTCCCGATTGGAAATTTTTGGGCCTTACCATCAACTTCAAAATATTCAAATAGTGCTAATCGCAAGACTACGTCCATCTCTCGTCAATTCCGTCAAGTGTCCTACTACACTTTGTTCTACTGATTGTTTTCCTTCGAGTTGATGCCGCAATTAGAGAACAAACGGGGCCTTATGGGACTTTCAATTTTTCAGCGACCATCAACTGCTTCATTCACCCAATTTTTTAATTGCCAGTTATGAGCCATCGTATCCCGGATATTGCAAATCTCCATTCATTCGTGATTGGAAATTTTTGGGCCTTACCATCAACTTCAAAATATTCAAATAGTTCTAATCACAAGACTACGTTCGTCCCTCTCACCAATTCCACCAAGTGTCCTACTACACTTTGTTCTACTGATTGTTTTCCTTCGAGTTGATGCCGCAATTAGAGAACAAACGGGGCCTTATGGGACTTTCAATTTTTCAGCGACCATCAACTGCTTCATTCACCCAATTTTTTAATTGCCAGTTATGAGCCATCGTATCCCGGATATTGCAAATCTCCATTCATTCGTGATTGGAAATTTTTGGGCCTTACCAT